AATACGCGCGCGCGTGCGCTCACGGTCCGTACCCATTGATAATGATTTCAATAATAATCAATTCCGTTCGAGTTCGAGTCACGCGCATTTCCGACCGAAAAATCGAATCGAATGCAATGAGGAAAGATAATTTGTTTTGTGGCACTTGAATTTTATTTCAGAGATCATTACCGATTGTGTATGAATAGCGTTGTTAGAGCACAAGCAATATATATATCGTTTGTGGTGCGTCTTTTGTGTTGAATAGTATTGCGCTCTCGGTTGGTAGCCTCCGGGTCGTTTTATAGCACGTTATCTATTGCGTTAGAGGCGACTTTTGTGTTGCCGATTCAGTTTATTTTTCTTCGGTTGTTGTTTTTGTTTCTCCTCCATCAATGATACGCAGCCAATAATTTTACAAAGCAATTGCAATGTTAGAATTTGGTTTGTAATGCCCGTTTTCGACTGCATGCATTCATGCGCCTCTTTTTCTGTGCTTCAATAAATTTATCGCTCTCAGGGACTAGTTTTTTCTCTCTCGATCAAACCACTAGAATGATCCAAATGCATTTTATGCGAGTGTGCGCGCGCAAACACTGGAACATACCTGATGACGGAACAATCGGAACACATTTCAAGCGCACATTTGCCGCGTTTGTGCAAATAAAAACCAGTGATAATAATAAATTTCCACGAAATGAATCTTAAGAATCACACTCAGTTCGTTCGCATTGCGTATTCGATATTTGCTTGTTCACTGCGACACTGAGCCAACTCTCAATGTTCAATGAGATGGTTCTGTTTGTGTCTTCTTTCGTGACATTCACAAAGCTCGTTTCTATGATAAAAAAAAACACCATCCAATTTAATTACAACCTATGAAATTTAGATTAACGCACTAAATTCACCTCAAATCAAAGAGACATAGAAAAAGAAGCGAAATGAATATGGTTAAAAAAAGCGGCGGCAGCAGCAGCAGCAACAGCAATGACACGCCGATGCTTGGCTAATGTCACGCTTACATGCATATTTGCAGTAGCATAGAATTGAATGTTCATGCACTTACATAACATTGCATTTGCTTGCGTTTACGATGTCCATGTGGTGATTATCATTATAAAAAAAAGCAAAATCTACCAGCAATTGGTTAGCTTTAATTGGCATTTAAACGTCGCACAATCGTCATTTTAAACTGATTCGACTTCGAAACGTATCGATGGCGTTGCCGTTTTTTTTTAGTCTACTCTTCTTTTCTTTCCATATTCCCACTCCATGCGCATTTCGATGAAACTCTATCAGCTTAACAGCATGAAGACATCTTTAAATGTTCCAACACATACACATTATGTGAACTATTTGGGTGCTATGATACCTACAACCAGATTGGGCAAAACATAATGATGCCGTTTTTCCGAAGCTCATTGAAGCTGATTTGGCCAAAAGATTCATCTCGTGTGCTTGCCCATGACTATGATAACGATGGTTAATATAATAAATTATACGTTTGCGTTGCGTGATCAAGCTAAAATGATTTACCTATTTAACGCGTGCAAAAACCGCAATCTCTCGGTGAGACTGAGTAAATGCATCGTTCAATGAGGGAGAGAGTGTGGCAATAAAACGCGGAGAAGAAGAAGAAGAAGAATAAGGAGAAAAACAATCTGGATTTGGTTTTTCTTTGATCATCGAATTGAAGCAGAGTGAGAACTTGTACGAATTGATAGGTGGTGTTTATGTGTGTCTATATGTATGTGTAAACGGAAAATTGCAAAAATTCAAAACACTATTATCAAGCTAATTCAAATTGTTCCCTTTATCCATAAAAGGCACACGGCACTGCTTCATGTCAATGGCACTTAATCTTTTTCTTAGTGCTTTTTTTCTCTTCTCATTCTCTGTTCCTCAATACACCGCATGGATTCGGCGACAAATTCGTTTCAAAATCAATTATCGGACGGGAAAAGCTTTACTACTCGCTTCAAATTAAAAGTGAAAATGAAATGCAGCTGATGTCAAATGTGGCAAAGCACGGCACAACACAACATAGCGCACACACACACACACAATACCCGGTGTTGTTATACAATCGAACATGCACAATATCGTGCTAACTGAATTTCAATTGATTTATAAAACGTGTAAAGTAAATATACAAATTTCCTGCATTCATATGTAATGCAAGTGATGATTGTTGTTTAACGTTGTGCCTCTGTATGTTTGTACATTGATATGTATGTGAAATTAAAGTGAAAACTCAAAACAACCCACTGATATACATTTCCTTGAGCAAACACACCACAATGGTGAAAAAAAGAGGAAGAAGAAAAAATGAAAAAAGCTCGGAGCAAAATTGAACGTGTGAATATGGCGTCAATTTCGATAAAATTCGTTGTCAAGCTAGTGGAATGTATTATTTAGAGAGGGCTTACGTTTAACTTCAATTATACGGCCGTTTAATCTCGTCTAATTCATATTTCAAGAGGTCGTTACAACGTTATTGTTTTTTCTTCACTCGCTCTCTTCGCTGTACACACCAAATGTTTTTTTTTTTGCTGTCGTTTTCTTCTTCTCTACGATGTACACGAAATGCCAGAGAGATGAACGACATTCAAGTGTATTTTTTGATGATGTGACATTCCGTTCGGTCTTGAACTTTTTTCTAGTGTAAAATGGTCGTTGGTTTGTTTGATCTTGAAGACTGGGAAAACTTTCTATGATAAACGCAATCGACGTGAGGCGACATCGAATCGACATTAAAAAAACACAGCTAATTCGGGTGACAAACAACAATGTACTCTCATCGATGGTCATTTGAAGTGTGACCCTGAAACAATGTGCTGGACAATGACGGAACACATTTAAAAAAGAACAAAAGAAAGAAAGAGAGAGAGAAACGGAACAAGAACATATAATTCGAGGAATAAGTCACGATTTGATTATCTACACCAACTGAGCGGCACGCTTTGATGGAGGAGCAATGCGCGCTCAGATCGTGAAAATCATGTGATTTATGTGTGGAAACGTGAAAAATCTAAAACAAAAAGAGAACACGAACAATCATATTCACGACCAAATTGGCACGAAAAATTGCGATAAATAAAAAAGTTGGCGAGAAAAAAAAACACTGGCAGACTAAATTGAATTGGTGCCGAATTTGGAAGGGAAAAAATGTATGTCTATGATTTTCGGTGAATCTGCTTCAAATGTTCGCATTCAATTGCCAAATGCAATATGAATGAATCGTTTTTATTTTTCACCGTATAATAATCGCATAATCAGTAATTGGAATCGTTCCCAGCCTAACAAAACTAAGGTGAAAAAAAAATTAGTCGTTCGCTTGTGCACCTATTTAATGGTGGTAGACGCAAGTAATGACATGATGCCGCTGATAAAACACAAGTTCTATGATGGTCAAGTGATTCAATAAATGCGCCAGTAAAAATAATGAAAGGAAAACATGTCATTTCACTCCGTCGGCCCCTCACTTTACTCGAAGTGTGTTTTTCATATATTTCAACGCGATTTCATTTATCGATTACAACAATAATTTAATTTTGGGTCAGGGCCATCGAAATATTGGGTTTATTTTTTTTCTCTTTTTTTTTCTCTTTATTTTACACACATATCGACATAGAAATAAAAGTGGAGAGAAATTATGGGGAAAACAAATTACATTGGAATATTTCATATGGTCACATGTTCCGTCGTCTGTTGTCGATTTTCACTTTCGTTTGCCACTACTACCGCCACCGCCACGCTTAGACACGAATCTAATGGCCGATAAAAATTGCGATCGCCGCTTCAATAAAACGTCCAACAGAACAACGACCACAGTAGAAAAAAAAGAGAAACGGCATACACACCACTATCCATATCGTGGAAATATAATAATGCATGTTCTTATTATGGGGATTTTCACGTGATATATGCGCGCACATTCAATCACATAGTTTGTTCGTATGTGAAACGGTTCTACTTTTTTCGCTATATACCTGCGACCCAATTAAATGCATGGACTACTTCTTCATTTGTGATGAAATGAGTGATACCAAATAAAAATAGCCGCAATCATTCAGCATAAAAAAAATTAATATAGAAAAAAAGTCTAGAGTCATTGGGCGCGAGCATATGTAAATATGTAAAATTGGCATATTTCACGCACTACTGAATCTGAGTCTCTGGGTTGCTTTCTGAAGAGGCATTCGTGTAAAGTGGAGAACAATTGGCAAACATTTCACAGGCCAAGAGCTTTCCATGCTAATTCCGTTCGTATATTTTTTTTTTGTCGTTATTAGTCACATACACACCGCATATTTGTTGTTGTTTCTTTTAACTCAACAAGCGCATATTGAGATCTTGATAATGAAATTGACCTATTTGCATTGAAATGTTAAGGCTGACTCCGGCTGCGTGTTTAGCCATGAGAAAGTCGTGAATCATATAATCGAATTGAAAATGATTCGGATTTCTAAGAATCTGGTTCAGATCCCACGTAAACGCGTGTGTGTCCTTTGGTCTAGGTTTTTTGTTATTGATAAGCAAATTTGGTGTATGTGAGTTTGTGTGATGTTGTTGTTGTTATACTTTCCACTTTAATGGGTAATTAGGACGATTTTGACGAAAACACTTTTTGCAACAAGTCCATTGAGAGATAGGGAGAGCCACAAGCAAGGGCGTCATAGAATGTAATTAGTAGAAGCCCTAAAATTCGCTGACGCCACCCGCTTATGCTTTATTGTGAAATAAAAATTTAACATATTGATTACAATATACTGTAGTACATTCTTGGAAATCCAGGACAATCAAGTTAAACCGAACATAGTTTTTTTCTTTCTTCTTTTCGGCTTGATATCTTTGTATATTACTATTCCACCTGTCGACACCGATTTTTCGCAACGTCACAAATTCAAATCAAATACCAAATTGAAAAACGTAAATTGATTTTCAGCAAAGCAATTCAATTCTAAATGGCTTTTGTTTTCAACCGTTTCTCTTCTCTTTCATTCTTTCATTTAATTTAGATCGAATTAGTAAGGAGTTTGAAATGACAACATGGAGGCGAGCTGGATAGAGCAACCGATTTCATGACGACTGAATTATAAATTTCAATCTACTTCCTTTTGACTTTAATGAGGCACACTCGCTTTACTTTACCAAACTTAACAGAGTGGTTTATTTGTTTGTTTTTTTTTTTCATTTTGTGTGTGTCAATGAAAGAAAATCGATTTCGTGAGTGCTTCAAAACGAATAATTCTATATACAACCGAAAAGAGCAGAAAAAATGACTTAATTTTAAATTTCGTCCAATTACACCGAAAATCAATCGCATGGTTTCTTTTACTATTTGTCCAGTTACAGAAAAGTGTTTGTTTTGCCGTGTGCTCTCGACACAATCACTCAAACGATTCTCTCAGCGCACCGGTTCAAACACACGTTGATTTTTTATTTTGATGTAAAAAAAAAATTCGTTTTCTGACAGCAATTATGCTGAGTACAATTTTATGACGCCGTCAACATATTCCATACACGCGACAACTTTCAAACTAAGGGACACCATCAGGTAAGAAGACAACAAAGTATTTCTAACTTAAAACCACAAACGAAAAGTAAAGCAAATCAAAGAAATGTTTTTTGATTCGCAAATGATGACACAAAACAAAAATGTAAAATAGAAGAGCTTCGCTAAATGAATTCACCTTCAGAGTGTGTTTGGTCTAACGCTCTTCATTCAAGTATTCAGGCGTGATAAATTGAACAATTCGAATAGTTCGCGCCAAGTTGATGGAATAGTTGGAATGAAAAAACAATTGCTGTTGCAAGTTGTTGAAACAGTTTCATTATCTTGATACCGAATACTTTGCCGGAACAAATGCAATATTTTTTTAACGAACTAAAAAGAAATGCATACATATATAACGCGCGGTAGCTGTTAGCACTTTGGCCCATCGTACATCATATGGACACGAAGTTGTTACAAGTAATTGCTGATAGTTTTTCATCGACAAAATTATAAATGGAGGAACTATGTTTTTTTTCGTGTGTTTTGTTTCTACGAAAAATTCTTCACAGTTCAGAAACCGTCGTCGGTGGTGTGTACAGACACAAATTCCAATCAAAAGTATCCACAAGACGTCATGTACAAGTGCATTAAAAATGTGCTTCGGTTGTATGACTTTTTTTCCCTGGGCGCGCGCGCGCACCCATTGCGCTGTATGTTTTGTTTTCTTAGTTGTTCCGATAGCGTGCACTCGGTACGGTATGAATGGTAGAGGGTAACAACTTCTTCGTTGGTTTTTTTTCCTTCTTCTATTTGTTGATGATTATTAGCTTTGTTGATTGCTACAATTATGTTTGGTTGTTGGAAGTTATCGGGCTTCGAGTCATGCATTTCAATCGTACAACGCGTGTCAAGCGAATGTTAAGTATTATTGTTCCACTTCGTTATGGAATCGACAGATTTTCATGCAGCTTATGATGTTCTCTCTGTCTTTCTGTCTCTCTATCTTCCATATGCCATCCGTTTAACACACCGGTCTAAGCGTTTCGGTTATAAAGTCGCTATTTGACCATCGGAATAAAATGGAATTTCATCAATGAATTGGACAAAAATCAATAATTCTATTCATTTTGAATGGATGAGTGTGTGTGTGTGTGTTTTTGGGAAGTAACGTGTAAGCAACACAAACGAAATGTATATACCGTGACATTTGAGTAACCAGCAAAAACAAAACCAAAACCGAGGGAAAATGAGCAGACGCAATCGTTATGTCTTCGATTTCGGCGGATTACCGGCAACTCGGTTTCTCGTTTGATTTTGGGGTAGACAATGAATGCGCTTTTGATTGAAATTGTTCTTTTCCTTTGTCATGACGGTCGCCAAATGACGGAGAGAGGCGCATACACACAATCGATTATGATTTGAAATTGATATTTTCGTCATTCATGATAATTTTTTCTCTCTGATTTTCCCGCGATACAAAAATGGCATTAATAAAACAAAGCTAAAAAAAGGCGAAGAAAAACGAATCTGGCACATTACATGTCGTTAGTGCAAGTCATACACAAATCATGTGTGTAATTGATCCAGAAAATGCGACACAAATAGTAATTGCATTGGTTATTCCACAATCAATCGCGATTTTTCCATCTCTATCTATCTCTCGGTGGCTCTGTGTAGATCTCGCAAATATTGCAAATATCAAATCAAATTAACAAAATGGAAAAAAGACGACGACGACGAAAACAAAAACAACAATAACAACAACAGCAACAACCGCAGCAACAAAATATTCTTATATGCGGTTTTCTTAATTATTACAATTTATGAACATTTGACATAAACAGTTTTGTTTACGTTTTTGGTTTCCGCCACAGTTTTTCAGATTCGAATCGTTTGTGGCGCGCGCGCGCACTCGCGCGATGGAGAGAGAGACACCAAAATGCAGCCACACCGCATTTATAGCATATGTGTGTATTGCTTTCGCTATTCAAAAAGTGTGCAGCATTCAACAGCTAGAAATTGAAATTGTGGTTGCATAACCAGTTTTTTTTTTCGATGGTAAGACCTATGCCAAAGAGAATAGACGCTGATTCGCGGCTTTGGTCTGGCAGTAACACGTTCAAAAATTGAGCAAAATAAAAACCAACAGCAACAACGAAGTGGAAAGAAGGAAAAAAAAACACAACAAAAACAGCCATGGAAAAAAGTTTGCTGCGATAAACTCCAGCGTCACTAACATAAGTTCAAGAAAGAAAGAAAGAAAAAAAGGCGAGTGACTGAAACGGGTTTCGATTCGCGAAATGGATTTGGTCCGATGTGGAGTGCGGTAAGAATGGAATCAATCGTAGATTCATGGTTATGGAGGCATTGGTATTCTATTGCACGTTTTTGTCTTACCAACGAAAAATTAAATCGATCTGTGTTGCATTCGCTGTGGACCATTATTCAATGGCTCGCCAAATCTTTCGTGTGAGTGCGTTCCAGCATGTGTGTATGTACGTATATACATTTGTTTCGTTAGGCTCAGTCAGTCGGTTTTTGTTGTTGTTGTTGTTATCGAATTTTCATTTCAACGACACAATATCTGGTTATATATCCATAGTGAAATGGGAATTCATATGGCGATCAAACTAAATGCAAATCCAATTGATATAGATGCATTGACTATCTCGCCTCTACCGTCGTTGTTGTCGTCTCATTGCACGATTGCACATATCATTTACAATTTTCAATATTTCACCATATATAAAACTTAATATACCCGGAGAAAACCTACACCGAAAAAGAGCGAGCGAGAGAGTGAGCGAAGAAAAAAACAACCATCCGAACCAACCCGACCCATTCTTCATCTGAACGCGATTTACGTCTATTGATTGTTGATTTCTTTAACGATCGCACAAAATGCTTATGTGATCTTTCTAAAGTGTTTTGTTTTTTTTCTTTTTTTTTGTGTCCCTCTGTCCTCTTTAGTTTGGTGTGTGCCTTCCGAGTGACTTTCTTTCAGTATCGCTGCGCTGATTCCGCGTGGCCAAGGCATTATGGCATCATGTTTGTAATTCCAAATTCAAGTAGTAAAATGTAAATAGCGGTAAATGTTTGTTTCACAGTTGACTTTCTTATTATTATTGTTGTTGTTGTTACTGGAATAGTCAGCTATTGAAACTGAAGCATATTCGAGACATTGTGCACATTAATTGAAATACGCGAACCGCGATTTGACAACCGGCAAACTATATAATAACAGACACAAAAACAATAAAAAAAAACAAACCAGTTTTATTATTCTGTACGTTTGAGCTAATCACCCAAAAGGCAAATCGAATGTGTGTGCCGATGTGTGTGTGCGCGCGCATTTTTTGTTGTTCACGTGACCTTTTATACAATGTATGTAACGCCGTTCCTTCATCGATGCTGCAATACACATAGATTTCCAATTGCATCTTGCGATGCATCAATAAAAGGAGAATAGATCGAACAAAAATCCGCCCTGCACACATTTTGCCTATTAACTATTAACCAAATTGTCGATTGTCATGTGGAAATGCAATGTCTTTTTTGTTGTTGTTGCAGGCGAACACGCCTGCGTTGATCAATCTTCTACATTCGTTTAGTCAATTGAAGACTTCACACTTGATTTTCGTTTTCGGTTAATTTATGGATATTATTCGATTTGGCTTCATGGAGGATTAAAAATCAATTTGATTTGGAATTATGAATTAGGTACGAATCAGCATTAGAATCTCGCTGGCACCATAGTCGGTGCCTATGAAGAAAGTCGACTTTGTGAGAAGGACGTTTGGTTATGGCAGTGGTAGAAAATCAAATTTATTTTCATGTTGAACAGACAACAACGAGAAAAAAAAGCGGTCGATTAAAGTATTCTAAGTTTATGATCACTGATCGGTGCCTTTTTAGCTGTTGCAGTCGCCAAATCTCAGTCATGCTTAAAATTCATATATGCAAACCACCAACTGGCTATATTTTTCGATCTGATTTCGTTCGTTTCGTTCGGTTAAATTGAATTTTGAATATTTCTGCGTGTAAAGAATCTCGGTTTAAAATAGTAAACTTTTTTCCCCTCTGCCTGGCAGTCTGGCTAGCATTTAATGGCATATTTATAACAAGAAAATCATTTTTACGTGCTACTGTCATCATTATTTATACACTTTTTTCCTCTCATATCTTTACGTTACATGTCACTTAAAATAATTGAATGTGGACGATAAGTTACGCTGGCTACCCGAGACCAACTGAAACCGGCTTCGAAATAGCTTACTAACTTAAAATGTACAGTTGTTTAAGTCATACATGCATTTCGTCATAATCGGTTTGCTCATTTTAAACTAAAACACTTTTTTCCCTGGTCAGAATTTATAATCTCCATGTCGCTCTCCTATGGCCATAGTTTCGAAATGATATAAAAAATACGGTTTTTTTCACCAATAAAATGTTAAGCCTCACTTATAATATCAAATAAAAATCCAAGTCGGTTTTTTGTCATCATCTGAGTTCAAAGTTAACGTGAATTTAATTGCGCCTCTTTAAAAAAAAAAGCGATTATGTTGAATGGCTTTGACCAAATATTCGATGATATTTCAAATGTTTACGGCAATTTCGTTAATTCCCACTGTATAATCCAATTAGTATATGGAACAGTGAAGCACCTTGATTTCCCTTCTCGATATTTATAGACACTAGTGAATTAAAGTGAAGGAGTTACGATTTTGAGACATAGACAATTTTCAGTATCGAATCGAAAATACATATCCGTAGTATTAAAGGGGGAAAATACGGTATTCACATGCGTTCTTATGAATACAACGGTGAAATGTAGGTGAACATTATTATCTTCCTGTGTATGAAACACTCGAGTGAGTTATTATGTTTAGTCATCAGCTCGAGTGAGAAATGTTTAGTGGTTTTTTTTTATTTCTTTGCATTCTGTTGTTGGCGCACTGCTATATTGTCGATGCCTTCAGATTGGGGAATTCGAAACTCGATCCAGTTACTAATCATGTAATTTTATGAATATTTCCATTGTGTCAACCCTTTTTCGATCA